GCTGTGCCCTGCAGACACCTCCTGGCAGCAAGGCACTGCCCAGGGACATCTCTGTGTGTGTGCAGATACTGATGAGGGGGTCGAGCAGCCCTGATGAGGCTGGAAAGGAGATGCTGGTGCTGTCTGCAAGCCGGCAAGTCTTGACATTCCTCCCTAAGTGACAATGATTTGGAGTACCAGCACCTCCTCTGTATCTGAAAGATGAATTTCTGTCTTACACTCCCCACCCATCAGTCCAAGACTAGAGGACAGAAAGCGCAGATTCCTTCCCTTTCAGGTAATCCCTGCTTTGATGTCCCTCCTGAGAAGTGCCTCTGGAAATGCCCTGGGGGTGAGCTGTGAGCAGCCCTTACCCATGGAGCACCCTCTCGACAACACTCTGACAGGTGTCTCCTTCCACCCACAGCTTCTCCCTGCCAAACCCTGTTGAGTGCTGACCCTGGCAGGTGGAAGAGTCCCTGCCCCAGCACACAACCCCCTGCGGTGCAGGGACCCTGCTGGGAAGGACAGCCCTGGGCACCCCTGCCTGCATACCCACCTTCACACACCTACAACCGATCCAGGGAGAAGGGATCTGTCTTGTCCTGTCTCTCTGTTGGTGTGGAAGGAAACCTTGCCATGGAGGATCCCATTGTCCTTCACAATGAAGAAACAGAGAGCATCATCCTGCCAGATCCTATCTGCTGTGAGATGTGCAAGCTTCAGGAGATCACTCCAGGAACACCAGCAACATTGTCCTGCACCCAGAGACTTACCCTGTACAGGGCTGTGAAGATCTCTACCCCAGTGAGCTCTCAGCATCCTCTAAGACCACACTGCCTTTAACCTCTCTCTGCCTCACTCCCCTCCCCTCGGCGCCTGCAGGCAGTACCCTCAGCCCTGCTGCACTTTGCAGAGGAGCTGCTCCTGGGCAGAGCTGTCTCTCTGCAGCGCTGCCCACTTGCCATGAGCTCCCTCCATCCCAGGAGCCCAGCCCAGCTCAGCAGCAGAGGACCAGCCCAAGGCAGCACTTGCTCTGCCTCCTCGGGGCTCCCTCCAGGTGTCCCTGGGGCTCCAGGGGAACCTGCTGTGACACAGGCTGAAGTCATCCCTGATGTTCACTACCTCTGCTGGGGAGAGACACTTCTTTCCTGCAGAGTCATCTCTGCTAATAACAGAAGAGTCTGGCAGAAGAATCAGCTTTTCTTGTCCCATCATTAGACAGCACACCCAGACAGTGACAGTGCGTGATGTCCTTTACCGCTGTTGAGGGAAGGGATTCTGCTGAGCCCATCAAGGCATTGGTTGGTAGTCCTGAGGATAGACGGGGACTCAGCTCTCACCTGTGGCTGCCCCAAACCCACGGGAGGTGGGATTCCTCTTGACTCAGTTCTGGTGGGCACAAAATAGGCACCTGCTGCCTGGGAGCTGGTTGTCTCAGCCCCCTTGGTCATTACCAGAGGTGGAGGCCACGAGTGACTTGTTCAGACTCAAACACCTGGTGACATCTCAGGTGCCAGAGGTGGTCCAAGGTACATGGCAGGTGACTGAAAAATCTGATGGAGAAATTCATAGAAACAACAGTAGCTGGGAGTGTTGTTGGGATGTTCCTTTGCCCAACTGAAATGACAGCAGATGACCAATAGGAAATGGAACCTGTCCCTCCTCAGTATGTTCAGAGCAGCCTATGGAGGTAGTCTTGTGACCAAATGGAGTCGTGTGCTATAAGGAGAGCTAAGTCTCTCTTGCTTCCTCACCAGCTGTACTTACAAAATCTGCACGGACTGTAAGTGAAGGTTTCTCACGTTCATCCACACATTGCCTTCCAGAATTCATGGCAGCTATTCACTTGAATGTTCAAATCCAGGCTCACATGAATGAGATGACAAAGCTGATGGAGAAAGCACAGGAGACCTACAGAAAAGCAATTCCCATTCTGAATGGGTGCATGAGAGACACCCCAGATGGTGGCACAGACAGATTTGATGCCATGGGTCATCAGATGCCATCAGAGAGGCAAGGTCTGTCCCGTTCTTATCCAATAGCTGCAGGCATTGCATGAATATCAGTCACATCACACCAGGGTCTTCACTCACTCCCTTGAAAATAGAGTCAAGGAACAGACCAATCATTGTCACCATGTGCCTGTATACATCTTGTCTTCAAGGACAACCTCCTCCAAGCACAGCAGTGTTCCATAGCAAAACCCCATGGAAACCTGAAAAGGAATTCAAGTGCACCAAAGTGAGGGGTTGTTATTTCAGAAAGAGTTAAAGAAGAAACAAGGGGAATGTGGGACCAGTGCTGATTTAGTAAGAATAGGTGCAGGTTGATCTGAGATACCCAATGAGCTCTTTGCCTTCGTGACCACCAGCAAGGTCTCCCAGGCCATTTGCCTTGAGTCAGGACTCTGGAAAAAAACAA